CAGCAGCAGAGTCCTGAGAACACCCAGAGCCTGAGACGGGACCGAGCATTGAACCGATGAAAGAAGTCAGTGAAAGGAAGACAAGAATAACAGACGGGACAAAAGAGTTTTTCATTCCAAATAAATAAAAGTGAAAGAATATCAGCACAAAACCTTTTTTTTAATTCTACTGTGTTCACACCTGTGAATCGGTACCAAACTCAGACCTGCTGGAACTTGTTTCTCTCTTCACTGTTTTCTTCACACACTTTTCCTCGCACGCAGCAGCTCTGCTCAGCCTGGACCATCTGCCCTGACCTGTCTGTGGACAGTCCTGGTAATGCATGTCAACAGACACGAGCCGTCAGATTCACACCTGCAAAGATACAAAAAATATAAAATAAAAAAAAAAAACAGATTATCAGATTATTTTGTTTGAAGTCTTACATGTACCGATGGACAGTCAGTCACATTTGAAATACAATAAATGAATAAATAAACGTGTTTTAATGTATGAAAATGTTAGTGCTGTGAACACACACACGTGTGTATTGTGTTCATTCATTTTTGAATATTAATGTGATTATCAAATCTCGAGACATTTTAACCCACAGACAACATTGTCGAGTGTCTGTCCAACAGTTCCACCGTCCATTCACTTATCCTTCCTCCAATACACAGTTAGTTTTTACCCTATGGGAAACAGTTTTTAATTTCACTGAAACACAAAATTAAAATACCATCTCAACTCCCACTATGTATTTGTTGAGGCTTCAACTATATATGTATATATATGTACATATATATGTATGTTTATATGTACATATATATGTATTTATATATGTACATACAGTATGTGTATATGTATATATATGTACGGTTCTGTTTGATACTTCAGTGGAATATAAAATTGCCTAGTTTGAGTCATACTGTGTACTGAACTGAGCTCACTGTATGAAATGGATCAATACAGTACATTATATATGTGCGTGTACACACAGTATATACATATATACATTTTCTTCAGAGTTTTTTCAGACATTCTCGACGGCAGGAAGTCTCTTTTACAGCCTTTTTATACATACACATTTCTGACTGTACTTCCCCTCACTGTATTTCAGCTCCAGTTTTTCTCACCTGCCTCATTAGTCAATTTTGAAAGTAGTGGGTGTCATTAACCTACAGTTCATGGAGGGGGCGCTCAGGTTCAGTGTAGACAGCCCTCAAAAACAAAAACAAACAAACAAATATATATATTTGCCTTTAAATGAAGTGTCAGTGGAGATTGTTATGTTTTAATGTGTAAGAGACACATTGGTTCTAATCCCAGCCTGTCTCCTCACAGCTCCTCTCTGAAGCCCAGACTGGAGACGTCATTTCTGCTCCCATCTGTGGGACGTTTGGAGGACGGTGTGATGAACGGTTTCTGTCTAATCACCAGCTCTTTGTCTCAGAGAGCGAGAGATGCTGCAGAGAAAAACAAAACAAAACACAAACCAGAGAAACTGAACCCATCGCTGTAAAAATGTGTGTGTGCACTTCTGGTGCAGGTATGCTGGTGGGGACCTGCTGAATGAGAGGCCATTTTGAGATTGAAGATTTCCTTTGGATTTCATTAGAATTAGGTTCAAATTAGAGTGAGAGTCAAGATTAAGTTAACAGCTCTGTTTATTGTTTACGGTGCATGAGGTCCTGGGTTCAAATCCCATAAGAACCCTGATGGTACTGTGACATTTTTACAGTGTGACTTGGTTTTTAAAGGACCCCTGTTTATTTATATTATTCAATGTTGAATATGGAGAGACTGTGGAGCTCAGGGTCACGACCCCAAACTGATCATGTGACAAATGAATCCTGAATAGGCGTACATTTGTAATGTGTTAAAGTAAGGCTTCACGGCATTCTCTGTGTTTATGTGAAGTGCCCACAAAACACAAAAAACAGTCTCTGTGTGAGTGTGTGTGTGTGTGTGAGACATATCTGTATCATCTACTGCAGTTTTATTCTAATCTGTACTTTCAGTTGAAGCTATTTTTGTTCGTCTTCTTCCAGAAGAGAGACCTCGTTGTGTTCCATTTAAATATAGATGTGTGGCATACACACACACACACACACACACACCGATATGACAACAAACATATGCGTTACATCCAGGAAGAGTCTGTAATGAGCCGTAGTGTAACCAGGGGACAGAGAACTGAACCACCAGCAGGGGGATCGGTTCCCTGTGTGTGTACGTGTACCCGTGTAGATATCCTTGTTGGGACAATGCTTTTGGTGAAACACATTTTTAGGTCAACACCGGGAATGTTTAAAATTTAGATTTGGAGTTGTGACTAGAATTACAGCTGGGTCATGAAGACTGTAAAGAGAGAGAGAGAGAGAGAGAGAGAGGGAGGGAGAATGAGAGAGTATATTAGTCTGCATGCAGGTGTGATTTTTCAAGTGGTCCTGTTGAAAACTAATGAAGCAGCAGTTGTGACAACATACTGTCAGCAGCTGTGAAAACAGTTCCAGACACTGGGGTTATTCTCCTCTGGACCAGTGGCATTCATGGTTTTTATTTTCTTCTTGATGGTTAGAGCTGCTAACATAATGTCGTAGTACTGTCCCTCTGTGTTCTACCATGAAAACATGATATATGTGTATATATACAGGTTATATATATCTATATATATAGGTGTGTGTGTAGAGACTCCATGGGTTCTAGAGTCAACACACAGATCAGCATTAATTATCTCCACAGCAAACTGAGACGCAGGAAGAACTCTGTGAGAATCGGTTCTGTTGTTTCCATCATTACTTTAACATCTTTGATTATCTGCAGATCTAATCAAAGCAGAACTGGCATCTGATCCTGCACACATCACACACTTTGTATTTAAGTGTGTGTGTGTGTGTCTGACTTTGAACAACTCAATGATGGCTCAGATCTTCAGGCCTGAGTAGGGGTTAGTCCAGATGTTTGGTATCTGCGGGAACATACGGCTCTGGAAACCGTCCCACATGTAATTTGGAGTGGTAGACTCTGAGCTGGCCTCAAACTTCAAAACAACCCTGGTCTAAAAATATCCTGAACCAGTGCTTCATCTCTAACGCTCTCATCTCAGAAACATGCAGTAACGTTCATCTGAGTCATGGTTCAGCTACTGAAGTAACCTCAGGACCATTCAGAAGGCACCAGGACAAATTAAATCCATGTTCACAGCATTAACCCATGACCTGGGCTGGAACCCATTAATACCATTCATTATTGACAGACAAAATAATGTGCCTTTGTCATTTCTGTAACTCCAGCGCACGTGGTGGCAGTATAGCAGTTTGTTAGCCAGCCACGGAAAAAAGATAAACAGGAAGGACTGAGTGGAAGTTTGGTGACGGTGACAGTAGACAAAAGCACATGATTGGCTTGTTGGGTTGAAATGTTTTTCGAAACATCCTAATGTCAGATTGGCATTGACATGTTGCTGTGAGAACAGAGCCCAGAGCTAACGCTAGCTACAACAGTCCTGGTACAAAGCCCAGAGCTAACGCTAGCTAAAACAGACTAACATAGTCAGGCCACGACAGACCAGATGACAGGAGACAAAAAGTATTTAAATGTATGAGTGTAATAGCTGCAATTATACTGTGAGTGGACAGATTTTAGCTCCACCTGGAGGTTCGTTCACTGATTCAGTCATCAACCAAAATTATCTGCTTATTGTGTCCAATAATGGTGTTTAATGTTATTCATCAATGCATTATTTTTCAAATCTTGTCCTACTACTGTCAACTACATAAGACAGGACGCTCCCTCAGGTTTAAAATGTACGGTTTATGTCCTTGAAAGTCGTTGAACTTGTGAAAGAAGCCGTCAGGATGGACTGTGCAGTAATGTTTTATTTCAGCTATACATGCCATGTTAAAAAAAAATTTAAAAAATGTCATGAAACAAAGACCATCATCATTATTTACACATTCACAGTACAGCTGTACAACCTTATATACACACTCAGATACTCATCATATACAGAGCTGGCCTTGCATCACCGCGTTGCACAATTATTAAAAATCCAAATGGCAAAAAAAACAAAAAAAAAACGAAACCCAAAAAAACACAGACAATATTGCAAAGTACAAGGCAGTTGATCAACAGTATGGATGTAGTTCATGTGTAGTGTCAAAGACGTAGCCCAAACACAGGCAGGATGGAAAAAAAAGAGACGTGACCTACAATCAGGATTGTAAACAAAATGTGGCTTTGCAGTAAGAGTCCTCGGGCAGGAAGTCACCAGAAGAAAGTACTGCAGTAGTACTGGACCCTCGTGACGAGGTATAGGACTGGCCAAGAGTCCTGTCTCTGTGGTCTTGGACATCTACACAGTTCTGGACCATTGTCCACATTACACACTTTCATGTGAATACTGTGTTTATACTCTGACAGTGTACACCCCCGCCCCCCCCATCCCATTGTTAAGAAAATGTTTCACTGCATGGCGCCTGTGTGTGGTGCTGTTGTCAGCAGGTGCACATCCCTGTTTGATTGTTCCTGTTCCTGTTAGAGGTTTTCCAAAGTGGCGTCTCTGTGAATATAACAAAACGCTCTGACACCAGAATCAGAAAACCAACAAAAACATTAGAGGGGTGAGGTTTTTAATTTTAAATCTAAAATGCTCAAAATATCCTGACAAATGCAAAGCAACATCAACTGATTTTCACAGGACGTCACTGTGCGTGACTTGTTTAGTATTTCTTTATTGTAAGTTGGCATAAAATCGAGACTGGATATTTGATTATTGGGGTTGTCAAAGCTGTGGATTGTGGCTGCGGATTTATCAAGATTAATGGTGATAAATTGAGATGTGTCAACAAATATTAGACAAATATTAGCAGGTAGATGTATGTGTTTGACCCACGTTTTTATTCAAATCATGGAATTATTAAATAGACAAAATGTTGGAAAAACGGGAAAGAATAAAAAAAACATATTCACACAGTTGATGGATTTAATCGGATTAATTTTACAGGATGATATTAGAGGTGGGAATTAACACTGTTGTCTTCTTACATGGCGTCTCATGTTACACTGCATTTCCAACACATTTTGAGCACTTTTACAGTTTGAAAACAACAACTCCCAAATATTGGTCACGAGACACAGAAATTAACAAAGAAGAATTCACACTCATGTTCAATTAAGTGTGAACAATTAACCCAATCCTGCATGTTATAACCTGAAAAACAACAACAAACAAACACAGGGGGAGAGCGTGTTAACTTCGACACAAAGCCATCAGTTACTACCACCAGGGCATGAACTGATGACCATTTGATGGTCGTGGCCCTCCTTCGTCTCCTCCTTATACAGTGCAGCTTTTGTCGACCACTAACAGCAGAGCTAAATGTGAAGCATTACCAAACTTGTCCTTGACGATTTTCTTAAATTGCTGCAACAAAATTGGAATATCGTAAATGACAACAACAACGTGAGGACAAATGGACGTCGACAATGTTACTAGGTCTGGTTACAAATGTTGTGAATAAGGCACACAATGCACAGAATTGGGTTCACTCGCCTAAAAATACTCAGTTACAGTATTTATAGTACTATATACAAGGTGTTGTTATACTCAGTGGGTTGTATTTGGACACGTGGACGAACGTTGTGTTGATTGTACACTGGTCTGGGAACAGGAAGTGACGACGACAGACATTTGTTTTTCCTTTAAACTCGTCTTTGACAGGATTTACATCAGAGGAACAAACAGTCGCTGCTAATTCACGGACACAGGCGTCTGATACAGCAGAAGTGTCCTGACGTGTGCACGAGTGTTGACTCTGTGTACGACAGCTGAACCATCGGTTTGGCTTCAATGTTATAAAAACAAATCTTGAAATAAAACAAGAGAAAAAGAAAAAAAGATGAAAAATGTTTATAAAGTTCACCGTCAAAATGAGCTGAAAAAAAAAAGTTGGTTTTCTGCGTAATACTTAAGCAACATCAAGTAAGAAGTCTCTGGAAACACCAGGAATAATTCTGAGAGGGGAGAGAGTGGGGGAGGGCCGGGGGGAGGGGTCCAGTCCGAGAAGACAGTTTTCCTCACTTGTCAGTTTAGCAGTGCACTTAGTTAACAAAGAACCCAAACTACTTGGCCTAGATCTGCAATGTAACACACACACACACACACGCCCAATCCAGAAAAACTCCAGACTGACTGAGAAAAGTCACTAAAATGGAAAAAACCTAAAACCGTGTCTATGTGGACGACAGTAGCAGCGGACAGGAAGTCCTCCAGATGTACTCAGGAAAACTGTATCAGTAAGTTACAGTCGTTCACCCAGTCCGACCGACCGCACCTCGGGTTAAAGGAAAAATATTTTGACTTTGATATTTGTGTATGTACAGACTCCACTGTGGACAAAGTGGCCAGAAAAGTGCTCCATTCATTTTGGTGACGTAGTCTAGATCAGATTCAAAACACCTGACACCTTACTAAAGATTCTTCTTCAGTCAAATCACATCCATTCATTTTGGTGACGTAGTCTAGATTAGATTCAAAACACCTGACACCTTTACAGTGTTGTCCTCATTTACTGAAAGAGCAAAGAATCCTGGGATTGAGACCAAAATAATGCGAGCTGACATTTAGAATCAGGTGAGAAATTCATTCATCTTTTATCATTTCATTCTTTTCTGGGTTACGGAGCGTAGGGGGGCGGGGCTACACCCTGGACACTTTTCCAGTCTACCAGGAGATAAACAACCATTCACACCTGCGGCGAGGTTAAGGTGAAAAAAACGAGCCTAATCTGCATGTTAGTCCATTCAGAAAGATCGAGGATCGAACCCGCGAACCGTCGATATTTTTGTTCTAAGGCAGAGACGCTAACACCTTCTGTCAAATGTAGATCTAATCTGCAGAGCATTTATTTGTGCACACGCTGCTCTTGTCGTATGCTCCGTGACCATGGAACTACGTCAGAGAACCTTTGTTCTTTTTCTGGGCTTACACCGAGACTGACGTATATTCTGACAAAGTGCCACTGAGCATGAGCATTAATTAAAAGCTCCACCTTTAGAGAAGATGTAAGAAGCACGTAGCATCTCCTGAAAAGACGCACAACAACGTGACGCGAATGTTGCTAGCGACTTTGGTTTGCTTTTTCTGTCTGCTCTTTGAATCCCTGTGGTGATTGGTGTCTCTCACACACACACACACACACACACACACACCAGCTTTTGTTTATCTCCGGCACTGTTACTACTTCAAGTGTCGGCACAGACACTCCGGACGTCTGTCCTGCTATTCTGTGACGTGTTTACAGGAAACCGTGGATTCTTGACTTAAAATAGACAGTGTCTATGGCATCACTTCAGTACACGCCTCTACTCCAGTCAGTCCAAAATAAACACACACACACACACACACACACATTCTCAGCTCTTTGTAGTCCTACTCAACCACATGAAAATTAATGAATGCA